ACCCCCATTCAATCCCCCCACACACCCACCTCACCCCACCCCTACACCACCCCATTCCACCCCCCACACCACCCCACCCCCACCCACACCCCCTTATCTCATACTTACCATCGCAACATTTATAGCTAGCATTAGGTTTTGGCAAGACTTTAATTCCACAGCAGAGTTGTTTGACTGGATCAAAACACTCCCCGTAGTAGTAGTCGCCCCTTAGTTGCTGTGTTTTACAGTGGTCCTGGTGGTATTTCAGATAACACTCCACAGGGGATTTCAGGTGTCTTGATGCTGCTCCTAAAATTTGAAATAAAATCACTCATTAAAATACTAGTAAACTAGCCCAGCAGATAGTGTTTAAGATCAAATGTGAAAAAAAAGTAACTTAAAAGGAAAAAAAGGAATGTTTAAAACAGTTTGTTTGTTTGTCTTTGAAAGACAAGATCCAACTAAGAATTATATTTTTAACTACTGCAGGTCCGTAGCCAGCAATTTCAGAGGGGGGTTCGTTTTCTGAAAAAGTGGACCTTTTACCATAAAATCCTCAAGTACATGGATCAAATTTTACCCAGAGTGGACCTTTTCCCAGCAAAAAGGGTGGTTCTTTCGAACCCCCGGAACTCCCCCTGCTACGGGCCTGTATATACTGCCACCATATAGTACATGTACTGTGCATGTCTGCATAACAGCAGCAGTTACCACACACACGAGAAATAAATCATGATAATAATTTGTATCAATTAAAATGAAACCTAGCAAATGCGAAGAACTTTTAAGGCAACTTAATTAAGTTAATCGTAACAGTTACAGTTGAGTTACAATATCATTACAGTTGCGCTCAAAAAGAACACTCCACATTGTTATCTGTTTGTTACCTTTTGTTATCAAAAGTGACTCTCTTGTTAACGTTACTTCTGAACTCAACTGTAAATCTCAGCTGAGTGTTGTCATTGTTTACAGTGTAACAGGATCTAGTATACTACCCAGTACATGGATCTGGACTTTTCTTGGAAGAACTACGTCAGCATAATTCATGAAAATAAGATAACTTGATATGTGTACACCTGCTGGGGTTGACAACAGATAACACATGGTAAGTCAACTATTTTCAAAGAATTTTTAATCGTATTAAATACATACTTCATTCGATTCTTACCTAGCAAAATATCTGTAAGGGCAATCAGTAGATGATACAAAAAAATCCTTGAATAAAGTACTGAGAACATGATAAAGCTCTCAGTAACTCTTACACTGGTACCTGTGACACTACTGTGTATATATATATAAGACATACCCTTCTTTAGTGGGACCTAGCTATATATATACTATAAGCTATAAGTATATGTACGTGAGTCAGTGGGAGTGTTTTGGGGAAAATTTTCTCACCAGGCAGTAGGTGAGAGTGTGAAAAAAATTTTGTTTTACCCCGCTACTTCCAATATTTGAAGACTTCTTGTTTCAAAACAGCATTTGAAGTGTATGGTTATTCCCATTAGGATTAGTAGTTGATACACTGTAGGTTTATTTCTTTGTCATCAGTTAACTTCACTCTCTGTCTCAGTTTAACATTTTAAAAGGTCTGAAAATACTACATGTACTACATGTTAATTGGTCAAAGATTTTTCTTCGTATAACCACTTTGGTTTTTAGAGCTCCCACCTGTCATTATCTTCTTTTATTGTTAAGTATACAGCATGTATATATAAATGTGTGTGTGTGTGTGTGTGTGTGTGTGTGTGTACAATGGGTGTGGGTTTTTGGGGGAAATATGTTTCACAGTGGATGAGTGTGTGAAAAAGTTTCTGTTTTTGATAACATCTTCCAATATTTAGGACTTCCTGTTTCAAGACTGCATTTAGTGTGAATTTAACTCTCTACTCCCATTGTTTAAAAAAATCCCCAGTGATCATAAAAAGATGACCAAAAGCATATAACCATAACAGTATACTAGCATTAAACTTAATGGTCAGTAACCAAGCTGTTGATAGATATCAAGCTCTGTATGTGTCATTAGTGAACTCCACTTTCTGTGCTAATTATATATTCAACAATAAATAAAAAAGGTACAAAAAGCATTTTCTGTAGTTTATATATATATATATATTACAAAAAATTATATATATATATATATATATATATATATATTACAAAAAGTTTGTGCTTTTTGGTCGGGAACTGGCATGGGCGTCTGCAGGGGGGGCGTGAATGGGGTCACTTGACCCCCCCTGGAATTTTGGCAGCACATTAATTGCGGGTACCCAGCCAATCATTATCTCCCCTTTCAATGACTTTGACCCCCCCTAGATAATTTTCTTCAGACGCCCATGGGAACTGGGTATATACATGTATACAATTTTCAAAAATTGCATGCAGGCACCCTTAGGCCTGCATCTTTATAACATAAATATGTTATTTATTGTCCACTTTTATTAAATGCAAACCCCTCATGATATGAATTTACTTTAGTTTAAATCCAATAGTCAATTTATCTGTTATAAAATCAATTAACAAAAATCAAGATGGAAAATCAATTAATGTACATCGTATTATGTTACAATAATGCTTGCTGCATATTAGATGAAATAACGTAATCATAATTAAACTTAATTTGTGGGGTTGCAATTATAAGAAACTCTAAAAAATTTAATATATCAGGCCGAATCTGTGGTCCTGGAGAATTAATATACGTTACATTGTAATTTTTTATAGCTCGCCTTTAAAGACACACCAAACAATTGTTTGATTATGATAAGCTTCAGAATCAGGGCATATGTTGGCTAAAGATCAAATAGTTAATTTGAAAACTATTAATCAATACGTTAAGCAGGCAAAGTGAAACCTATTTCGTAACTTGATAGGTTACACATATAGTATAGACAATGTAGAGAGTAGCATGATCATATATCACCTGACATATCCTTAAAGTCCAATTGAGTTTAATACGGCAGACATGAAAAAATTGGACAGAGCATATAAGCACAGCGGTAAGGTAACTTGTCACACCGACTACAAGTTAACATGTATATAAACACTTGTCACAATGGTATTTATACTGAAGTGGTACTTGTAGGTCGCACTAAAATATAAAAATACCACAGTTGAAAGGGTCAGCTGTGAAGAACTGCGAGCAAATTAACTGGTAGCAGCAAACAGGTTGGTTATAGCTTATGTCATATATAGGCCATGGAGGATAATGGTATTAATATCAAACACGTAGGTTAATTACAGCAGATTGTGAATACAGATTCAGGTAGGTGCTGCTCAGAAATCTGTCATCCATTAGAAATTGTATACTGATAGGCATTTTGTTTTACTAAAGTATATGTTTTGTGCTGCCATAAATATATTTTAAACATGTCAACATCACACCTTACATACATGTATAATTGGTTGGTCTCCTGACACATTATGCGTCCCTAGATACTGTACATACTAGTATGTACTGGAGTAGTGAATTTTTAGGCATATGAGATTTCTGATGTGGGGCACAAAATGTTGATGATTATAAAACCCATAGGAGTATATATGTCTTTTAAGAAAAGTGCATTTAGATATTTACGATAGATTTAATACTTGTTTAATCAAGAACCCACCTGCAGCATTTTTTATTTGTGAAAAACTTGGGCCTTACACTCCGTTTTTTTTTTTTTTTTTTTTTTAAATCAAGACCTCTGTCTTTGATATAGGGTTTGAACATGCAGTTTTGAAGTCAACCAGGCAACATGATAAGCTGGTATGAGATAAGACTCACAGGGAGCAGGCACCAGTACTTACCCGTAGCCCTGTGACAGAGACTTGTTACATGTATCAATACCACAGCACAGACTAAGCCAAAGCATGTCCACTTCATTTTTATTCTTTCTTTAGTCCAGGTATTCCTCTTCTAATTTTTATTCCTGATTGGTTTTAAACGGCTTCCAGTTGTAACTCCTCAAATGCTTCTTTTTTACTTGATCGATTTTAACAGCTTTCAGGCTTAAATTCAGAATAAGTTGAATTTGAGAAAATAAATCAAATTATGTATGACTAGCAGGTTTAAATATCCTTTCCTGACTTTCTGAGATCTTAACATCAATAAAAAGTTTGAGCATCAGTGAAGTGCCTTTATAGAAAAAATTGGGAATTTGGCTATTATACTTCATTTAAATTTGGCAAATTTGTAATGAGATAAATTAAGACAAGGTAAAACCTGGTTCTCAGCACCTGACATCCTGTTGGTTACACCCCTGAGTTTAAATGCTCAAGGTTGAGTTAAATTTAATTGTCATAATAAGTAAATATGTAAAATGTGATTTTAAAGATGTTATCTTTACCTGGAAGTGGTCAATTTTTTAAATTAGAAACATAAAAAAAGATATAATACATGTACCCAGCACTGCATGACAATTATAGGTGCAGGGGATTTCTATCAAATTTTCACAGCAGCTTAATAAGCTACAATTTTCCAGCAAGGCCATAGAAAATCCCATTGCTTTTATGTCAAAAATCAATTACTGATAAACATACCTCGATACATCATGCAAGAGTTCTTATATCTAGATGAAGGAAACAATTATAAAATCTAAAGGGTATTGATAATTAAATAAAAATACAATTGGAATTTCAGAGAAACAATATGTTTACTTATGATGGAAGACAAATAAGAAGGCAAATATTAAAAAAAATAACATTGTTGTGAAATACAGGAAATAGGTAATTCTAATTAGTCATAGGGGAATTCCCCTTATGAATTCCCATACTCGAAATTACTGTTTCATATGATCTTTTGATAAGGGTTAATTGCTTTCCAATAAAATATATCAGTGGCAGATTTGGGGGGGGGGGGGGGGGGCAGGTGATCCCCCCCCCCCTCCACCATTTCTGAATAAAATCACACCAATGGTCCCCTCTTAAAATTAGAATCTTGACTAGCTGAATCATAGTTCTTTTAAGAACTACGTTTAAAAACTTACCAAATAGTACTGTTCGCTCTTTTAAGTACCAAAATTTTTCAGGGGCCTTCAGCGAGTTCAAACCTCACAACAAGGGGGGTGGGTTGAGGGTTGGCTTCTAATCCTCGTCATGTCATTCCTAAAATCCTGACCCCCCTTCCATTAATCCTGAATCTGCCCCTGTATGTTATGGTTAAAGCAGAGAAAGTAATGTGGCATGTCAGAATTATGCAAATATTTCAAGAAATGTGTTTATCACTGACAAGAAGCAAATATTCACTTTTTTGTTGAATCCAATTAAAACACAAGAAGATGAGGGATATCACTGCAGCCCTAAAACTTCCCTCTGGGGGGGGGGGAGGGAGTTAACAGGGAAGGGGAAGTGTTAACAGGCTATGATGTTTCATGTTTTACATTCAACTACAAATCCACCCCCAAATACCCATTTGATTTTTATAGATTTCCTCATTCATTCTGTTGTTATTCAAACACAAAATATGTGCATGTTGAGAACGATGGTTTTAAACCGCAAAAGCCCATTGCTCATTATTAATCTTATAATTCGGCGTTTACAACAAAAATGAGTGGATTTTAAAAAGCCTTTATTTAGCACATTAGCTGTGATACGTATAAACAAATCAGATGAAATTATTTTAAGATAATTTATAAATATCTACAAACTTTGCATTCATCACTGGCTTTTTATTTATTTCTTTTTTCAGCATAAATACACTATATATATTTTGAATTCCACCAGCAGATCAAGAACCTGAGGATCCACCACCCCACTTTGGAAATTTTTTTTAAATTTTGCGGAGTTTGGGGGATTTTTTGAATTGGGAATTTTTTGAAGTAAATAAATTTTGAGCATATTGCCAGAGTGATCAGCTTATCAACTTTTTGGGCTGATGAGTTTCTGAGTGCATGAGGGGAAGTGGGCGGAGACAGGTGCACCATTTGATTTTAAATTATACCCATGACAAGTGGCAGTAAGCACCAATAATGAAAATAAATAGCAATACACTGTACACTGAGCATTAAAAAAATACACAACCAAGAACCTATTACATCTTAGCACAAAACAATGAAACATTCACATTGGAATAGATTGGTAATAAATGTGGTAATAAATATGCATACCATAACTACAGTGTATGTACACTTAACAATTAATTTACTTCATGAACTTTAAACAAGGTGACAGCAGGAGTTCATTGCACCTCCAGCCAGGTAAGAAAATATGTGAAAACATATCCTTTATATCCAAGACCTGTACATCTCGATTTAGTTCATCAATTTTTAATACAGTTTGTTTATATGGCACATGTTGTTTTTATGGCACATGATCTCAATTTTTTAAAACTGATTTGCCAGTATTTAACTGTTTATAATCCATTTCTGAACAGAGACAAATAGTATACAAAGAGGAAATGCAACAATATATACATTAAATGACTATGCAATCTTGTACATCCATAAAATAAATAAAAATAGTACCTTCTGATGGCAGTGATGCATGCATTTGTGATATGTTCACGTACCAGCATGATATTTTAATAACTAAACAAAATTCCAATTGTAATAAAAACAAATAAAACTATGATCTACATGTACAGTACGGCTTCTTGAATTTTTTACGATAAATTATTGATAAAATTCTAATGATTCTAATGATTTTTCAGTAGACGGTTGCAGAGCTACTGAAACTATAACTTTTATATATATATATATATATATATATTATTTTATAAGAATCTGAGCTACAGTAGTTTTATATTAACTATTTATTCTAAACTTGGACCATTTCACTATAAGGTAAGGCTTCCTGAGTACATCACTCTCTTTAAACAAGAAGACCAATCTCCCTGACCTTGTTTTTCCTGGTTTTTTTAGTAATATTTCTTTGCAAGAACCTGGCAGTCGAAATGCATGTCTTTTTTTTCTTTTGCTCCTCCACTTTTTCCTTCCCCTTATTATTGTTTTTCCTTTGACAAAACAACTGTTCTCAGTACAGTTAACTCTGCCTTTCACCACTGGAAAAGAAAAAGAATTGATGCAGTTTTAAAAAAAACTTGACTACAGGAGCAGATACGTTACATCTAGAATGAAAGGGGTAAATCTTCCTACCCCACCCCCCACCCCTTTGTACATGTAAGTATATATGCCCTGCTGATATCTCATTAAAGAATCCCCCTCTGATATTTTAATATATGTACTGCCAATACCACTGACCCGAAGGTTATCTGTATATCAGATGCTTATTTCATGCAGATTGATCTACCATGGAAAATAGTTGGAAATGCATTCTAATTAAAGGGATAACAACTCTTCGTATGAGAACTACATTTCACAATAAATACATTGTAAAAAACACACAGAACTATTATATATTTTCTGTTTTACCAGTTATAGGATTTGTTCTGAAATGTGCTTGCCTTCAGACCACGTGACCTCCATAGCTGGCTATACTCTGTAATAATCTCTAAGAGATTATTACAAAAAAGCAAACTTTTTAGAAAAAAAAACAAGGACTAACTTTGAATGTAGAAATGGATTCATTAACTACTGGTAAGTATGGGAAAAATTGCCGTTTACCCCAGGAAAATTCAGTTTTTGGCCGAAATGAACAGTTGTTATCCTTTAAGCACATTCTTAAACATAAGGAACAATTATTTTTACCCCTCAATATAGGTCATCCAATCCTTTTTAGACCCTCATTCCACTAAAAATTTCCAAAGCAAGGTTAAAAACATTTGGTAACATATCATTTTGCATAACTGCACTGGTAGAGTGGAACAAGCTGCCAATTTTCCTAAGACAGATAAAACACAGGAATCTTTTAAAAAGAAATTGCAAACACACATTTTCAAAATGTTTTATTCGTGATATTTGTTAATTTTTATCTTAATTTACATTATACAGGCAAAACCATAGATTTTTCATTTTTAAATTACTGGTTATAGAAGTCAAACTTCACATGCATAAGCGGAGGTTTTCCAAATAAGCCATTCATTTTCACCGACTTCATTTCCAGGTATCACAAGACTCCCACTCCCTTCAAATTGTGTCAAGATGGCTGACTACTAAAGATTTTTTTTTTTTGTGATATTGATTAAGGCCATTTATCTGTTGTTTTGTGCTTTAAAAGTTTTAATCAAAAAAAATTATCCTCAGCTAAGTTCAATAAAATGCGTTTCATGCACTCAAAATGCTTTTTAAATCCTACTTTGTCTAGCTCTAATCAATATATAATTTACCTTGACTTCCAGACGATATCAAAATGGAATTAAATTTATTTTCAATATAGGGTGGGCAGGGCTCGGGACGTGGAGTCGTGGTTGTTGTAGTGGTGGTCATCGGCAGCCTTATAAAAGATTAAAATTAAGTTTACAATGTATTACTACTTGCATTTACATGAATGATCACAGTGGTAAAGAAATTATTCGATCTTTGCTCTTCTAAGAAGGGCTGTGCAGTCAATGGAATTTTGTGTGCTTGCTTTTAATTGCATATTTTTTTAGTAATAAGAAAAAAAGGAAATGTCTATTCCTGTTTGTATATATATGAAAACATCAGCCAGTTATAAGCTAGAGTAATTGCAAATTGTCAGATAAAAATGTTTTTGATTTCCACTTCAAAGTTTAGCAAATGGACCCTTAAATAATTTGATAATAGTATAAACATGTTAAAGTGTTTATCTGAAAACATTATTTTGCTTAATTTTATTGCAATTTCACAAATTACTATTGACAAAAAATATCACTGGTAAGGAAATGTAAAACAAAAATCAATAAAATATATACATTTTTGGCATTTGTTGAAGTCTGATACCAAATTGGCATGTTAGTTCTGGATCAGAAGAGTTGTACAGTCTAGTACCACAGCATTTCATGGCGTCGCTCTTTTTCGCATATTTCACTCCGCGACAACACAGCTCCCTCCTGGTGTCAAACATGTGCCGGCCACACCTCTGTCGGTAATTAGGTTGCCCCTGTTGTAGTTGTCGTGGTGGTCTCTTCACAAGAGAGCCAAACTGACACAGGAGCTGTGGATTCGAAGAGTTGAAGGTTTTAGTACCGCAGCACTTGATGGCAGAGCTTGGTTTGGGGTGGATCATTCCACGGCAACATAGCTGCCCTCTGGTGTCAATAGTTCTGCCACGTCCACACTGTTGTCTATGAGAGGCCTTAGCTACAAGTCCTTGTTTTTCACAAAGCTGTAAGAATAATGATAATAATATAATTGTATAAGACAGTATTCTATGCCAGTTTTTAATTTAATAATATTTAATTAATTTCAAAAGTAGATTTCCACACATATTACATTATATTCCTTAATAAAAAACCTTACAACTGTAATATTTTTATTGTCAAAATTCCCAGATAACAGAGATATTCAGAGGCAATAGAGAGGTTTAGAAAACTTAATTACGCATGCAATTATGATTATGAATAGAGGAAGAGAACCCATTTTTTTCTATTGTATTATGTATGTATTATGTACTTTTGGGCACCATCTGTACTTGCTACAATATTCCCTGATAAAACATGTAGGTCCCAGTATGCAACTTACAGGTTTTAATGTGTATTCTTTAATTTTATTTGTTACCTGTAACTTTTGAAATCCATATAATACCCATACAATCACTCAGCAAATCACTAGCTTCCTTGTAATGATTAAAGAAATAGTAATTCATCATTTTCCAGAATAGAAAGGATGCCCAAAGTGCTACACTAGCTAGTACTAGTACATGTAGATGTCCCCATTTTAACCATGGTGTCGTAGTAGAATTCCAGTCAAACTTCAACTTACAGGTAAGTCTTGTTTACTTTACAGTTTTATTGGATGAAACATCAGCCAATGGAAAGATACATTTCAATGTACATGTCCAGGGGCGGATTGAGGTCGTCTTCTGGGTCTTCTGGAAGACGGTCAGATTTTCACGTTTACACTGACGGGTATCTAATTTTTTTTCTGTCGGAAGACGGTCAAAAATAGAAGATGGATCAACAAAGATAATTTGGAAGACTATCTGAAAATAGCTCTGGATTTGCCCCTGATGTCAATGCCCCCATTCAAATAGGGGGCTAACTAGTCCAAGGGCCAAATATGACAACACACTACAAAGCTTGATGTCTGATCTGCTAATTTAACTGACACTGAACAGATACATGTATCCTGTGAGGAAGTATTCAAGTGGGTTGGCTGTATTTGACCCTCGGACTGCTTAGTCCCCCATTGGACTGTATATACATGTACACTTTTAAGTGCTAAACCCCTCAAACGGGTACGGTAACATCACAGCCCTACACCTCCATGTTGTTTACTTATACCTATCTGATGTGTACATATATACAGGTTTATACCCCTGTAAATATTCATACACTTACATAATACTTAGAATTATATGTCTGGTATCTTGTATGTACTTGGCAGCAGCTGTCATCTTCTTTCTTCATTTTCTTCATTACCTCTGAAATTTTAATTTTTAACAAAATGTAAAATGTATCTAGTATTGGTGAGTTACTTGTAAAAAACAACTTAATTATCCAATGCTCCATATGAAATAACTGTATTGTCATTTTACAAAATGAATTCAGTTAGTGTGTATATATACAGTGCTTTTTCATCCATAATTTCAAATTTACAGATAAGCACATACCCCCACCACAGCAGATACTCTCTGTGCTGTTGAACAATGCAGTGTTACAACATTTGGCAGTGTTATCAGAAGTACTGACATTGTACAGTACACTCCGCCGAGCCTCGTGCTCCCCACAGCACAGGTGTTCACCGTCCTCATAATAGCCTCGGTCTGAGCAGCACTTGGTTTTATACTTTGAATGCTTTTTGAATGGGCGCCCATTGCAGCATACCTTTTCATCTGTGTCTATGGATTCTGAAGGGAAATGTTTATTTTATTACAGGTTCATGATACTCCATCAGTGTATTTCTTGTAAAGGACAATGAATTTTTCCCAAGTCATGCTCGGAATAGTTGATGTTTGAGGAATTTGGTAAGAGGGAACAGAGAAGTTTATTTTCTAACAACTTAACAGATCAAATAAGTGGATATATCTTTACAATTCAACTTAAAAAGTTTCTAATTTTAATATATAAATCAATATTGTAAATAAATTAATATAAGAAATTTTATTTAAATCCATGACATGTCTAAAGTCAATCTGATTTAAAACATTATTTCCAACATTCTCGCATTTCAAAACATATATTTTACCAATATTTGAGGAATGGTTTTCATCTTTTTCATTTCAATTGATTTTATTAATTAATTTTGTATTTATGAATTAACTTTTATTACTGTTGTTGTTATTAATGTTTTTACTTTTATTTGTTTTTGTTTTTTTACTTTACCATTATTTTTTTTTTTCAATTGTGTTAGAGGTTCTGATTCCAGGTGTCACAATCATGTTGAATGTGACTTTCACAAAAAAAAAAAAAACAATCAATGGACCTTTAGAAAAAAAAGCAAGACAAATTCTGTTTCAGTTATTTTTAAATTACAATAATTAAGTAAATGGATTTTCGAAACAACATGGTAGATTGATTGACTTCTAATGAGGAGTTTACCTGTTCCACAGCACTGGCTGGTAGCTGTGCGGTTATGAACTCTCAACTCACAGCAAATCTCTTCATTTACACTTTGGGGTACCCCTCCGCAGCAAATGTGATTTATCACATACCCGTCTCCAGTTTCCCAGTGTTCTGATTTGCCATGAAAAACCTTTTCTGAATTTGAAAATAGGAGAATATAAAAGCCAATGTCAAGTGGCCAATAATTATGCATAAAAATAGGACTGACAAATAAATGGACCAAAGAAGAAAGACTATTATTTATATATAAGAAAGTCTATTTGTCTTCAAATTGTCTGTATAATCATTGCATTTTCCTTAAGAATCATATAGACTTTTTCAAAAAGTCAAAATTGAGAAATACATTCTAAGGACTCACTGTTACAGCAAGTTGCTTTCCTAGGGTCATATGCTTCATTTCCACAGCATTTATGTACACTATTATTAGAACATATCTTCATGGGTTGGTAAGTTGCAAAATCACAGTAATATTCAGTTCTGTTGATGTAACCATTGCCGCAGCATATGAAGTTTTCCTTTGGCATATTGTAAACTTTGGCATATCTGGGCTGGTGTTGAGGGGAACAGCAGACTTGCCCCTCCATCTTGAGTTCTGTTCCACAACACATGGCCCCCTTTGTGACTAATAAAAAATATGTGTAGAATCCTTACCAAAAATAAATTACACAGTATACATATGGAAATGATAAAGTTCAACCTTTACATGGTACAACTAATATTAGTTTGAAGAGGTGCTAACTATAAATACTACACAAATATCAACCATTAAAACTCTGCAGTCTGGTATTATTTCTAGCACTTTATATATGGGTATAATGCAAAACCTATTAAAAGTAATCCGTCTGTTAAAAATTCAAATATATTGATCTAGTATAGTTTCTACACTTCTTTAATGAATATGCACCAAGTTTTAACAGTTTTTATTTCAAAAATTACTTGTAAAAACCCTACTAATTTTTAAAATATGTAAACCAAAAAATAAAGTGTCTCAGACAATCAATAAAAAGAGAAAAGACAAAACACATACATTTTTGGATTTTCCCTTGACAGCAAACTTGTGTGGAAGTGTTGAATACCACATCTGCACAACAATCTAATGAGCCACTGCTGTACACTGTGCCGTTGCAGCAAAACTGTCTCTCATGACTGTACACCCTTGCTGTCATATTCCACACATCTGCAATCAAAATAATTATTTTATTCATTCTGAAAGAAAGTAGCCTCATTTTCAAGTGTGTGTGTGTGTGTGTGTGTGTATGTGTGTGTGTTAGCCTGAATTTTAGAAAAAAATTTTTTTAAATTTTTTTTTTAAATTGTAATCTTTATGATCAGGTTGGAACAACAGCTAACACAGAATAGGTGACGTGATTCTCAGCAAGAAACTTTATCTTTGGGTAACACAAATAAGTTCAACCAGAGAAAATGAGAACAGATAATTGACGTATCAGTAATGATAAGACCATCAGTCTGCTAAAAATAGTTTTTTTTATTATCTTTTATATTTATATCTCTGAATTTATGGACAGATGGTCAATTGAAAATAGAAATTCAGTGCAGCTGATTAATTTAATTTATACTTTTCAGGCTTATACTATTGGTTCCAGAAGCAAAAATACATACTTTGATCACAACAAAATTGAAAATCATTTGTTGCATTTTAAAAGAAACTCACTGATTTAGTGAGAACTGGCTATTTATGTAGATTAAACGAGGTATACTTTAGTTATTGGGCTCTATACTAGTACAGTGGTGTAGCAAGGTGAAGGTACACCTGGCACCAGCCCCTATATATAGTACTATAGTAGCTTCTGAGAATTCTCTTAATACCCTTAACCCCCCCCCCCCCCTCCCCACTTTACAGTTACTGTAATGAGCGGAAGAAAAAACAGGCAATTTTTACATCCCTGGCCCCAACATACCCGGTATTAAATAATATTGTGTAATACAATATTGTATATTAAAATCTACCCTGTATTGTCTTTAACATTTTATATATATGCAGGACAAAGCTAGATCATTATTTTTAGCCTTGTTCCCTCCTCCCTAAGCAAAATCTAGGATCTGCCAGTGTTATAAATATTATTGTTTCTATGGTGTCATATACTCACTGACACAGCACCCGCTGCCAGCTGTCTTTGCAAATACCCGACCTCCACAGCAGTCACTCTCATCCTCATTATAGCAAAAACCCTCCCCTGCCATCCCTCTGGAACAAAGTTTTTCCCTTCCTTTGCAATCTGAAAGTAAAAAGTGGGGAATTGGCCCTTTTTGAATTGCATTATGCATAATATGATTCATGTCAACTTCACATGGCTTTCTACGTGTAAATTGTACCAATAGGTAATTAATTTTTTATTGCAAAGATCTGTCCATAACATAGGTAATAAAAGACAGTAACCCCCAATTAATTATTTACAGTATTTAATGTATTGATTTTTTTCTTGCATTTTCCAACCAAAATAAATAAAGTCTTAATACTTGGGATAAGTCATTGTAAAATAGCTAATGATTCATGAATGAAATTTTGTGAATTAAGGGATTCCCCCCGCCTCAATAAGTTCTTGCATACTCAAGCCTAAATTAACAAGTACTGTAGAATAAAGAAATTAATGAAACCCTCTGGTAATGATTGATAACGTCGTTTCAAAAATGAAATCATCAGATCACATTACGTCCCATTACGAGCCCAAGCCTAATTCAAGCTTCCATAAATTTAGAGATCGAAGTTCAAGACAGTGTACTGGTAATTCATTTGTCGTGTCCACAACCGCAAATTAAACCGAGATTAATAGTTCCCACTTACCTTCAGAAGTTTCAGCTTTAACGTCGAAACAAAAAACTAAAAGCAGAAAACCTAAACATATCAAACTATAAGCTGTATAAGGTGCCATATTTGTATTGTAATGCGTATAAGAACTCTTCGGTACTCTTGTCAGCCTACTCAGTAGGCTTGTTGTTCACTGCTGTTTAGTCTGGTCAGTCGAGAACTAAGTCTATTAAAAAATGTTAATATTGGAGCCTGTTTTTGTTTTTGAAACAAGAAAGTTTTAGAGAAGGCGGTCTGGTTTCGATACGTCATAAAATATTTCAACTGCATAGTCAATAAACTGATGCATGGTTACTGTACACGATTGTTAACTTTCTATTGCTGCTATTTTTAGATTGGATTCCCCATGACGTCATCACAAAATGGCCGCCTCCACTGGTAAGATTTTGGTTAAACTTTGTTCATGTGATATATTGATAAATAAAGTAGACCGTCGTTTTAATGTACCAATAGATGGTGCAAACGTCTTTTGCAATCACACAATCAGGTTTTAGGGGCAGTAAGATATTAAAACGTTAGGTCAATACCTGTGAACTTCTCTAAGGTCAGTTCGATACTGATAATTTCGACTAATTTCAGACAAAGTATTGCCCATCGATCTAGTTCAAATGTTTTGTTGCCCGAAATATTTCTTTGGTCACTTGGGGTCCATAGATCCAAAGTTTCAATAGTAGATACTAACATGAAATGTAAAAATAAGATTGAAAATGAAAAAAAAATGCCCAGGAAATTCATCCTAATGGCATAAAGATCCAAGTCTATAAAAAAAGAGATGAGTTTACAGTTACCTACAAAACTAAGAGATGATATCTTAATATATTATTCGCAAATGAGTTATTATATACCTCCAGTATAAGGTTGTTTATACTTTCAAATGCAGAATATACAGTATAATACACAAAATCCCAGAATTCCTCCTCATTAAGGTGATGTTATTGGGTTACTTATTACTGGAATATACTTTAATGCTGATCAAAATTTTAAAGTTCAGAAAACTTTCTAATATTTTTATAGCATAGAAAGAAAACAATTGTTGAATTTATATTTTGTAATTTGATTATGAATCTCCTGAGAACCTGCCATAAGTGTCATTAAGAATATATATATATATATATATATATATATATATATATATATATATATATATATATATATATATATATATATGTATTTCAGCTTCAGAGAACCTGTTGTCTATATCATGGCATGATAGTGCATGGATCCCCATCCTCAACCCAGCTAATGTGATGGACTACTTCTCAGAGAGGTGAGGGATGCTTGCCAGCTAGAATTTATTGTTCTGATAAATTGGTTGAAGTCGCACTCGGACACTCACCCCCCCCCCCCCCCCCCCACACACACACACACACACACACACTTTCTAATGTCTATTTCTGACNTAAAATTTTTTTTTTTAAAATTGGTTTAAGGCCCCCCCGGACCCCCCCCCCCCCCCCCCCCCCCCCTCCCACACACACACACACACACACACTTTCTAATGTCTATTTCTGACCTGTCTCTCTGTAGATGATTATTATCACTATGGGTGTATTCACACACATGCACACCAACATGTGCTCATGCACATACACAAACACAGGCACACACACACTTTTTTGTGTCTATTTCTGACCTGTCTCCAGACATGCTGAAACTGTCGATCTGATCGGTCATGACTGGGAAAATTTGTCTGGACCGATAAAAAATTGTACTTGGTCGGTCCAAAAGACCGACAAGAGTTTTAAGAGCAGCAATTTTGAATTTACAGTTATCATTTGACATACTTCACTAATAAAATTATATAAAACCCAAAGCATTTTTCCCTTCCATTTCTAACCTATCACATTCACAAACAAAGTAAGCTACCCTAATAGCACTGGTAGTAACTGTCTCAAACGGAAAGGGTGATTTTTGGTCCGCCAAAAATCCATGCAGTCCGGCAAATTTTTCATTACTGCCGGTCCAAATGTCCGGCCATTCTAAAAAGTTTTCAGCATGTCTGTGTCTCTGTAGATGATTATTATGACTATGGGTTCATTCACACACATGCACACAAACACCTTCTCACGCACACACACAAAAACACACACTTTTTTGTGTCTATTTCTGACCCGTCTCTCTGTAGATGATTATTATCACTATGGTTGCATTCAGAACGAACCCGTCCCAGCTACTGTACACCAACCCCAGGGGTACTCTCACTTAATGCAACCAGATTTATAGACAGACACACTTCCTCTTGTTTCCAACATACTCAGATAATCTCCAGCTTTCCTATATTCTACTCAACAGCAGGAGAAGGGGTGTTAGTCTATTAAACATTTTCATTCCCTTATGGTTAAGATAAATATTATGGATTGAACTGAAATTAAGAAATTCATAAAGCAAGCATGTGATAATAATAATAATTATAATAATAATAATAATAATAATAATTATTATTATTATTATTATTATTATTATTATTATTATTATTATTATTATTATTATTATATGTGTGATTACTTAATTTTGAGGAATTTTATTCTGACCACTCACACTTGATTTTGTTTTAACTTACTAAGTATTAGCATTATTGAGGACTGAATATTATTTGGGACTGTGTTAACTATCTCACTGTGTGGGTATTTCAACATTTCAGGTCAAATCCTTTCTATGACAGGACATCAAATAATGAGATTATTAAAATGCAAAGATTAAACCCGGAACAATTAAAGTAAGTAACACTGTGATCAAATATTTTATTTAAAGTTTTGAAATCTGGAGTAGATTACTAATACTGAAATCAAATTTCCTCTCACACAAAAAGTGGCCTCACACTAAATATGAAACTAATTTTTTTCATGTTCTGAAATGTTTCTAACAATTATTTGTTGATTTTTTGTGTGTCTCAGCCTTGTTAGCACAATATAAAACATTTCTGTATTAGTCAGGTCCCACTTTGGAAACACAGGGGAATCCCCTTCTACACCATTATTAGTGAAGTTGAATTACGAAATCATATCTTTGGGTATTGACTGTGTGTCATAGCAATGGAATTTTTTAGGAGCGGCTGTGTTTTTTGTACATCAGAATAATTTAGGAGTGGTTGTTTCAGCTTGTGTGGCATGGTGGGGGAAAGATTTAGAGAGTGCACATATCTCCTTGGAGTAAACTAATCACTCTGAAAATTTTCCCAACAAAATTAATCGCTTTTGAAATGAAGACATCTTGATAAACTGTTTTCTAAAGTTGCTAATAATAAACTTTATTATCCATCTTTTGACTTATAGAAGTTATTTGTGAGAGTATCATTCGCTGAATTTTCAAAAAAAAAAAAAAAAAAAAAAACTGTTATCATGTTTGGATTGATTTGACCTTATTTAAGGTGCACCTACATACGACTGCCTATGAATAAATAAAAGTCTCAAAATTACTTTACCAGAGTTTTTTTTTTAAACAAAATACGTTAAAATTATAACATTTCTTTATCTGCATATCACTATTTTATTTACTGATTTTAAGACTTGAGTCCTTTCGAGTAGACCTGAATAATAATGAGGATGTTATTGATTTGTGTGTTTATTTTTTACAGCAACATGACTGGGTTGGAGTACATTCTCCTCCATGTTCAGGAACCTATATTATACGTGATAAGAAAACAACATAGACACTCCTCAACGCAAGGTAATGTAATAACTTTCAGTGTTGTTAAAAATAAATTATTCCCTGGTATGTGCAATGCAAATTACAGCATAGAGCATAGATAACCAAATTATTATAGAATATCCAAGTACCATGTGCTGTGTTTATGAATCGAGTGTACAGGTACTCCCTGAATTTAATGGATTTTGCACACATAAATGCACATGCTTTCATGGACGCGTGCATACACACACACACACACACACACACACACACACACACACACACACACATTGTTTGTGAATTGATTTGAATTCTTTGAGGATTAGAGAAATGTCTGCTCAATTAGTGGAATGTTGAAATGATTTCTTGCTTTTGATTTTTTTCAGTTACTCCCCTTGCTGACTTTTACATCATAGCTGGTATGTACATTTATAAAAGATAATTCTCTGCCCCCCCCCCCTCCACACACACACACACACACACACACACACACAAAGAAGAAAGTTTTCCAGTAAAGTGCCCAAAATTGTTTACATTTTCTGATCAGCTGGAATGTGACCGCTGAATTTCAACACAAATATGTTTAGAAGTTTGTTATAGAAATGTGGCAGTAACTTGTAAGGAATAGTCTTGTCTGATACCAGTTGTGCGTGCAGTGTTTACTGTCCAGGAGTGAGTTTAATAAACTTTTAGACTTGACTTTTGTATCACTTTTGACCCAAGATAAATTGGTGGTGATAAATGAAATATTGTACATGTTTTATTAATTACAGAAAAAATGCAGATGTTTTAGACAAACAGTTACATTATTTTAAGTGGATTACTATGGATTTACCTTGAAGTGGACTAAACTCTTTGGCTTTATCTTCAAAGCCAATATTTGGTCCTGTCTTTTTGTGTGACCATCATCTGGCAAAAATGCCATGTGCACCATAAAAAAGGTTAATGTTTACAGCAGGATATTCCTCTGCTTCAGAGAACTTATTTCCTTTTGCAAATATCAGTTTTAAAATAATCTAAGTCATAATCCTTTTACTTTTGATTGTTTTCACCATGTTTATTTCAGTCAGTATGGGGATAGTCTTGTATCAAAATCATAATGTTTTAACAATTATACAGATACTGTATTTTTTTATATCATAAAATCTTAAAATGAAAACTTTCCTATTGGGTGGTAGCAACAAAATTAAAAATGAGGCTAATCTATAGTTCTATTCTATGCATTAAAAGCACCACAAATGCCATATATATATATATATATATATATATATATATATATATATATATATATATATAAATATAATTTTTGTGACTATAAAATTATGTATCTGAAAGTTTAATAATTTTTCCCCATTGAAAAGTTCAAGTAATCACCCTATATTTGTGTTCTAGGTGTTGTTTACCAGGCTCCAGATCTAGGATCAGTGATCAATGCCAGGCTATTGAATACACTGAGTAACTTAGAATCTGCATTTGATGAAGGTATGTTGTTTCTAATGGAGAGAGAGAGAGAGAGAGAGAGAGAAAATAATTAATTTTACAGAGATAAGAGTTTGTTTACCTAGGAGGGAGTAATAGATAGTCAGCCAGTCAGTTACTTTACTAGAATTCTACACGACCTGAAAATTAACGGCATGTTGTTCTTATATTTTGTATTTCTTTTCTTCTGCAGCAAAGTCATATTCTAGATACCATCCTTCCAAGGGTTATTCATGGGAATTCAAAAACCAGGAGGAAATAGGTGGGTGTTAATGACATGCATTATGTTTAGACAGCTTTTATAGACTATATATATATATATATATATATATATATATATATCTTCAGTAAAATGATTTATTAAATTTATCAAGTGCTATGCTGTAAACAAGAACATCACAAATCTTATGTTTCCTCTCTGGGATGTCGCTACAGTGAGAGTATAAGAGAAAATTACAACCTTTGTAGATTTTTTTTTACTAAAGAATTTTGTTAATTGTAGTACAAGTTGATACAAAAAAACTTGGCAAGTGTGCATCAAGCTCTTCGATGATTATGCTTGCAGTGTACAGATGTAACCCTATATATCTGAGTACTCACGGGGCTCATTCCCAGTGAAACTCGTTTTACGTAGATCGATCCAACTCTGTTTGGACACTCGCTGAATGCAATCAGGTTAACAAGATAACATGCCTCCACTTGTTTCCATCATACATGTCAAATCACTAGCCTTTCTGTATTCTACTCAACACCAGGAGGAAGAATGTTAATCTGATTGCATTCAGCAAGAGTCCACTTGGAGTTGGATCGCTTTGAGTAGAATGATAGTTTCATTGGAAACTAACCCATTGTGTCAGTCTCTTTATCAGCAAAAATCACTGTGACTACATTGATAACTTTCACCCCATTTCCATAGATTTTTAGATCGATCTATCCCTGTGGGGAGTCTCACTAGATTACTGTCAGCTTGGCCGGCTTAAGCGTCTGTCCCGCCTACTAAAAGCTGTAAGGGGGTAATTAACTATGGTGTCCGCTCGACTGACTGCAATTTAGCGTGAACCCCCAGGGAGTTAGGTCGATCTAAATCTCTGGGAAAGCACCCTAAGTTAACAGCCATTATGATGATGCAGAGATTTCAAAATTATTAGCAATGTATCCCTTGTTCATCTAGACAAAGCTAAAGCCAAAGAGAAGAAAAAGAAAGAAGAACCAAGTTCACTGTTCCAGAGACAGAGAGTAGATATACTGCTCACAGAATGGGCCAAAAAGCACCCCCCAAAGTACACAGCAGCCCCACAGGCAGATAAACAGCAGGGTAGGTAGCACCATCTATAATTTAGTTTTTAAATCGAACTCTAATTAAAATTAAAATTTTGCCATGATATACAATCACTTCTAAAACTTGATATCCAGTGTGATTTACAGAACACTCCTTCAGTTTGATACTTTTGACCCAGAATCATATTTAAAAATTTACCATGAAATTGTATGTCATGGTAAAATTTTAATCATAATTAAAATGTTAACATGACTTACAACCACTCCTAAAATTTGATATCCAATGTGATTTCCAGAGCGCTCCTTTAATTTGATTCTTTTGACACACAATCATAATTAAACAGGCCCGTAGCCAGGGGAGGTTCGGGGGGTTCGAAAGAACCGCCCCTTTTGTCAGGAAAAGGTCCGTTTTGGGTAAAATTTGATCTAGGTACACATAATTGCATTGTAAAAGGTCCACTTTTTCAGATAAAGAACCCCCCTTTTGAATTTGCTGGCTACGGGCCTGTTAAAATTTTACTATGACATACAATTTCCCCTTAAATTTTGATATCCAGTGACTTATCTCCACTCCTCATGTGTAATCCCCTATGACACAATTCATACCCAAAAATATGGGTTCATAAACTTGGTGAAGGAAATTCCCAGGGTTTCCTAAAAGGGAACTGACTTGCATTATTCAGAAATGTGCTTCTGTCTTTGACATTTTAACTACAGTTACACATGCACAAAATTAACAAGTAGATCTAACTGTTACAAATACTCTAGGAACATATTTTGGATATGGTATACTTAGGAGGTTGAGGGAAAATTGTTTGAATTTCCTTGAAAATTTTAATTTTACCATATTTTACCTTGACATACAACCACTCCTAAAATTTGATATCCAATATGATTTCCAGACCGCTCCTTTTTGACACACAATCATCATTAAAGTTTTACCATGACATACAATTTCCCCTTAAATTTTGATATCCAGTGACTTATCTCCACTCCTTATGTGTAATCCCCTATGACACAATTCATACCCAAAAATATGGTTTCATAAACTTGGTGAAGGGAATTCCGAGTGTTCCCAAAAGGGGAACTGACTGGCATTATTCAGATATGAGCTTCTGTCTCTGACATTTTAACGAGATGCACAAAATTAAACCGTTACAAATAACTGTTACAAATACTCTAGGAACATATTTTGGATATGGTATACGTACTTAGGAGGTTGAGGGAAAATTGTTTAAATTTTACTACATGTAAAGTTTGAATGCTCATTGTCTACCTTTAGGTGGTAATAGTAACACAGGTAAATTGATAATACACTCAGACTTGATTCAGGTATTTTGGCCTTTTAGATTTTAGATAAAAAGTACGTTACCAGAAGTCTTGTGTAGCATTTCACGGCACAGGTTCTAATATTAAAAATTTTATTTTACCACCAAAACGGCGGTTATCGCAATTATTCTGGAATCTGTGCTTCCCTTCAGACTACATGACCTCCTGTAGATATGATAACAAAAAACCAAATTTTATTTTTAAAAACCAGAGACTTACTTTGAATGTCGGAATGGATTCATTATTCATAGGTTATTAAGTTTGGGAAAAATTGTTGTTTACCCCAGGAAAATCCATTTTTTGGTCACTATGAACAGTTATTATCCCTTTAGTACCAGCAGTTAAATTTGCAATATCAGACAACATGTGCACTTAAAATGTATGAAAAATATTTCCCCTTTAAGGAAGTGCTCTAGCGTAATTCATTTCTGAGTTTATTTCTTAAATCATTTTTAACTTTGTTTCTCCAGATGAAAACAAGGAGCAAATCAAACTTGAAATGAAGACAGAAAAATCTGAGACGGCCTCTCAGTCCTCACATACCAGTAGCAGAGGTCCAGCAGAGAAAAAACCAAGACTAAGATGACATAAAGTTTGTAAATATGTAAAGAAAACAATCAAGGTGAACTGTATACTGCTAAGTTATGAGTGATGCAAGTCCAACAGAGGTAATCAAGACTAAGGTGATATGAAAACTCCAACGATATTAAACAGAGTCCATGTATATTTCTGCTAACATACAAGTCACAGGACTCCAACGGTGAAGAAATCAAGACCTAGATGGCATAGCAAATCTCCAGTTAGAGATCAGGATGTGTTGTTTTTATTTCAAAGAAGAAATTACAACTTGAATTACATGTAATCTCTGTGAACATGTGAATTTATGTCACTAAATTGTTGAGAGAATGGCTGTGGATATGCACTGGTGGTTTTCGTGTGGTCAGTAGTGCATACATGTTCCAGTGATACTATACTTAGGCCATAAATAAAGTGGCTACCCTTATATGGAAATTGTAGCCATTGAAACCCTACAGATGTAACTGATTATCATAAAACATTGGTCGCATAGTTTAGTACTGTTATCAACAATATGGAATACTGTTTTGATTGCCTTGTCATTTTATTCATTTAATCTAAGTTGAATAAATAAAAGGGGCCTTAAATGGCCAAGAATCAGTCAACATACCAATATATAGTGTGTTTGTCATTTATCCCTTTGATAAAGGTTCAGGGCCAATATATTTATTTTTATATTTATTATTAATATTTATATTTATTACAACCACCTTCATAAGATGAATAAAAAAACAGATAATGACACATAAAATTATACAGAGTATAAAAGAAAATTAAATTAAAAGCAACAGCAGTCCCATATGGATATATTCCTCTGATTATCTGTTCTGATATTTGGGTCTTTTGACTGAAAGTCTCAATGTGTCTGCCTGAGGGTGTCCATGAGCCGTGGCTGTTGCTCAAACATAAAATCAGATGGGAGATGAGCCTTTAGATCAGACTCTCTTTCACCACAGAGTGATTTATTATGAAATGAGACTCTTGATATGATAAAACTTTACAACAGGGTTATTCAGTGTTCACAGTCCTACGGAACAGTGATTTAGCCGATTTAACTCTTTTGGTATGTGAATACTTGAAAATGAAGAAGCTGGGCCAAGGCGAATCTAAAACTAAAAGTGAAGATGTGTTCAGCATATTTTGTAATGGTTTCAGTTAAGAAAAAAGGATGACATTTACTTTGTGTGAATTATGGTATAAAATTGGTCTGGACATAAAAAGGCTGACAATTCTTCTTCATTTATTTAACTACTATATTAATGTATGTTATGTTTTGAAAGGCCCCTATAAGCTTTATAATGGTTATAACAACTACAAGGTTGAATTTGAATTTCATTGATTTTACCAGGTCTCTCTGAAATACCTGTATTTTGAAAAAAACTTCATCCTTTAAACAATTTAAAACACCAAGCAGCAGAAAAGAAAAACTGCCTACAAGTTGTGTGGGTCATTGCTAAACCACAGCCAGCTGTCACATACCTAAATGCTGGTAAATCACAGAGTTCTTGGAATATGGATTTACATTTTTAAAATATTCATTATATACAGACATAGATGCAGCAGAAATTTCTTAAAGAATATAACAATGACTACGGACAATAATCAGTAGTACATCGAACATCAAAATTCATGCTGTATTATTTAATATGTAAACCCCATAATCCTGATAAAATTTGTGCCTGGGGCATTTATATTTTTGCTAGGTGTGGATTAACTTTACTGTTGCCTGGGGTATTTTGCAATAGAGACAATGTCCTATTTTGCTGTAGTTGTTATGTACAGACTTGACATTTAATATGGAATATTTCAGTTTAAATGTATGCCTAAGGATAAAACATATAGTACCCGTTAATGACTACCTTGTCTGTAGCACTCTTGCATTATGCTTTATACTATAATATCATTGGGTAGTGCTCTATGGGCTCGTCCTAGTATGACTCTGACAGGTTCTGTTAAAAAATCTCCATATATCAGTAACGCTTGCTTAGATGATATTGAAATTTTGCATACGAGCAGCCAGTCAACGGTGTGTGAATGCTTTGAGCGGAACAGTGTGTCAGAGTGTGTCGTTGTTGTATGCGCCAGAATGGAAACGGACATTGCCAGACAGATTACTGTGTTATCAAAGCTTCTGTCTCAAAATTTATTTACTAGATGCAATGTCATGTCAATGTCATCATAACGTACTTATACCCACACGATATATATACTGACAGTCAATGAAAACGCATCAGAAAACTTTCTTGTACTTTTTTTTTTTTTTACCGAGAATCGATTTCAACCATATAAACGAGTACAAATGCACTTGTTTGGTCATAAGAGTGTGGGCTGACCACTATTTCATATTTCACACGAAAACTGTTATTTTCTAAATGTGCCAAAGGAACTTAAAATATTATTTCATAAATAAATGATGCGTTTTAATTGACCCTCAGTATATATTGCACGTGTAAGATGAAGTCGACCGCAAGTAGAAGCAACTCGTACATTATTAAACTGCTGTCATAAAAACACTTAAACTTTACTGTATTTTACTAACATTAAGATAATAATTCTATTTCCAATTTCTATTTCTAAAATCATTTTAACCAATAGTTTATATGTATACTCATTTTGTGATTATATGTTATATTAAGTTCATTGCATCTAAAAATGTTTGACCTTGCGTGTGATCAGAGCACGCTACCTGCATTGAATCAATTTTAAAAATATATATATATATTTATTTAATTTGGAATAATTAAAAGGTCCATTCAACGTTTTTTTTTTTTTTTTAATTATTAAAAGTAAGTGAGCAAAAGAATTGTCTAAATGGAACTTTACTAACATCAATCAGAATAATAATTAATACAGGTAGATTTTTCTGTTCTCCCAAGAACAAACTGGCTAAATTTTAAGCCTTCATTATTGTCGCTGGCGGCACCATCTCACCTCCAATCGATCTAGTTTATATTTACTAGAGTGGGAAATCTGCAGCATATCGGGAAGCGAGTACGATGCCTAACGTCTTAGAAAATGTATTGAATGTTTGTTTTAAATTGACTAAACAAATACATGTAGCTTGCGGCTACTTTCATAGTGCTGCTGACTTTAAAAATTGAAAAGCCTTCGTCACGTCTCTTGGCGCAGGTCGTTATTTTTAGTTGTTTGATGTTTTTTTCTTATATTTTAACCATTAAAAAAATCCTCGATTCATTTTCCTCCAATATAAGCAAGACATTATGGTAACAGGGCACAGTCAAACGTTTTACGCGAAACACGGCAAAACTGCATTTCCAGTTTCTAATTGCCAAAATCGTTCTTCAAAAGACCAACCCCCCCCACCCAGCCCGAATTTGTACTCCCTTGGTCAAAAAGATTGACCCACCTCTAATTACATGTCTTTTTAATGACAAATGGTCACTTCACAGGTGTCAATTATTGTGCCTTTCATTCTAGTTACCATATCTAATATTATCAACGATACAGAAAATACAAAATAGCGGTGAAGATATCCATATTTAATACCACTTATTCACAGGTAAAGAAATGTCCATGAAATTGAAACACGCCACCAAATGCTACCAAATTTACTCACAGTTAGCATAAAAGTTCACATGCCTTATATCGCGAGTGTCCACCGCGTACTACAATTATCTCACTCAGCAGACGAGAACTGTGAGCAAGTGTGTTGTTGTGATGAGGCTTTAAGTATCCCTGAAGTCACCTCTTGCAAATGGTGTGAGCTATCATTGAGTCTTTTCAGAAACACTCCGCCATCTTAACACGAATAAAAAACATTGAACAATTACACATCTTTTCTTCACATATCTTTTTAAAATTTCCGATAAATTATATAAATATTTTGTGATTGAAACCCGACAGCCCATCCTTTTGGTAACCTTAAAGACTACCGTCACTATCTTACCCGTACATACATTATTTTTTTATGTTTTAACATAAGCTTGTCTAATGATAACTTAAATTTAAAATACATCAGATAAAGCAATAGATATATAATATAGAACCCGTTTCTTCAAACTAAGATTTCTTTAAAACAAATAATCTAAAGTTGATCGCCCGCCACTATCTAACCCGTCCATACCAAGAGTCAATTCAAACATTGGTGTTCCATCTTCGATAATTTCAGCCATATTGATGTGTCGTCTGCCACTTTCCTTAGCGGGAACTCTCAATATTGCTATATTATATGGGTACACATTCAATGACGGGGTCAGGTCTTTTGCTATACCTGGTATCACTTTTTGACCAGCTACTGTTTCCAAAACCGGGGGCCAGCTGACTTTTTTCCCAAAACACGATCGCCAAATACGAATACTGAACAGAAGCGAGTCTGTGGTAGGTTTTAATGTTTCTGAATATTCCTTTATGTTCACTAAACTGTTGACCAATATTTTGGTCTTGTTAGACTTTCCCATGTAGAACAACGTGGTCACAGCAATGGCATTGAAGTCGCCATCTTGGTTGGAGAGCCAGCAAAGGAACTGTCCTAACTGGTCGGGGTGACCTAAACCGCCCCCAGGAACGTGGAACCATTCATTGCTATACATCAGAACGTTCCATTCTGTCACACGGCTGTCCAGATTTCTAGCAACTGATGAGTCCACCATGTCTGGTATTTGCTTTACATTATCATAACGCTGAACTACAACACCCTCTTTGTTTAATTTTTCTAGATTTTGAGAGTTGTCCTTTTCATTTAAAAATAGAATAATCTTAAACCCTTGATGCTGTAAATCGTGGATTACTTCAAGCAGCAGGGTATTCTGTGTGTTGATAAGATGTACCAGGAACACGTTCACGGCAATTTTGCGCCTCTTTTCTAGATTACTTTCTTCTGTCTCCACGGATAAGTTATTTTCTGCACCAAGAACAAGTAGTATTGTTGTTGGATCTGCACATTTTGTATTATGAGCACAAACCCAGCCACTGCGCAGAGGTAACATAGCGTGATTGGTACATAACTCGATCAATTCACTTTTCCGCCATTCGCGAATATGACAAGGGTTTAACGGTGGTCCATTAAGTCGCCGACTTTTTTTTTTCATCAGTCTCAGACCGAGCTAAATTTTCCCTATCTGGAGTACTTAGAATCACAGCCTTGCTTATGTTTGCTGTGTGAGCCAAAATGTCCATGAAACACTCATCTGGTTTCAAAATATGTTCAATAACATCACTACTCAATACTATCGATTCCTTTAAGACAGATTCTGGTACAGGAAAGTCATGTCTGCAATTGTTTCTTCCCTCAAACTTATTCTCGATCCACGTCAGGGAGGGGAAAGACATGTTAGCAGTGCGAATGTTTTTCGCAAAATCTATACCTATGGTGCTGAAATCTCTGGATAACTTGGCTAATTTGAATCCATTTCCGCAGCCGAGGTCAACGATGTATTTGGCATGTAAACGTCTTCCCACTTCGCCTGCAAACATGTAGACAGACATCTGCCAGGTACTCTGAGGTGCATCTTTGAAGTATTTCACCTCACTTCGATGGTTGTAGTGTTTTGCAATTGAGTATTCGCCCGTTTCCGTGCTGTGTTTTAGTGATTTACCAGGCACTTTGCGCCTCCAGGTTATGCAGGTGACATCGTTCAACTCATTG